TATTATTATATATTATATATTATTATATAAATATATTATATTATAGTATATTATATATTATTATATAAATATATTATATTATAGTATATTATATATATTAATGTGCTTATCTCACGAAACGCGTGCCTCAACGTGACAGAGAAAATAAATTGTGACGAAATCAACGATGTAGCTTTAACAAGCAATTAATTTCAATGATCTCAAAGCGGATATTATCGTTGCTGAAACGGCAAATTCATGGAATCGCGAACAGTTAATTAACATAAATCCGAGGGAACAACGTTGAATTCTTTCAGGAATTGAAACAAATATATCCTTTATGCATTTTGCTTTGTATTCTACGCGCATGGAATATGTTCTATGCTACTAAATTTCCCGCATAGTTCAGCACACAAAAGACTCGTATAACGTAATTTACGTCCAACAGCTTGCCCTTTGTTTTTCGTGAGATACAAGGAATAGAAGGAACAGGGAGAAAATATTCCCTTGTGACCAATGTACATATACAGTTATATGCCCTATCCTTTTATACCCACTTCTCTCAGAGTTCTCAGTTACTTTTATTGAAAATCGATCACGCATTCTGGAATGAAAAGAGCTGAGAACGAAAGCTGAAAAAAATGAAATCGAAAGATTTTGCTCTCGTTGTTTTTGTTTCGTCGAACAGTTCTTTCCAGCGTGGAAGTATTGAACTTTTCAGATACTAATGCAAGCGCGTCCCCCGACAGCTGTGTAAATCGTGCTTTAGAATCATTAAATCCGTCCGCTCTTTGCAGAAGAAATATTCGTTTGAGTTTTGCAAAAAAGGAATGAAGTTCAATCGTAAAGTCAACGCATAATTTTTCCGTTGTATTGTTGTTCTATCGTTTTTCTCGATATTTCGCAATTGTGATGTAACCAATTTAAGCGGAACTTTTCGAACTAGACGGCGAATCGATTTTTGACAAAAATGTTCTGCATATGGTAGATGTCCCAGTTTACGTGCCGGTCCCAATTACCGTGCTCCCGGATTAAAAAGCGTATCGAAAAAGAAAAGTTTTACATATAAATTGATACCTCTATCTGGCTTTTCCATTCTTCTAACTTCTATTTTAACTTTCTATTTGAATATGAAATTTTCAGAAATCGCTGAATTTTTATTTTTCATTCGTTTGCGAGCATTCTCGACGGGCAATGGTCGAATCCCATGTCGCACTCATTGTTTCTGGCACTGTGGTCTTCGTTTAATTTCTCTTCCATTTGTTGAACG